GATGACCGTTGATAGGAAACTCATTGCTGTCCTGTTAATGCTGACTCATAGGACCAATAGGGCAGGGTAGTCCTGCCCCCGTGGGTTTCCAAGGCTGTGAATCTTTACGGGAGCAGGAAGCTTCATCTTTTTTCCCTCTGAGTGGCTGGTGGGTTCCAACTGCTGACCTTGTGGTTAGTAGCCCAGGGCATAATACACTAGGCCACCAGTGCTCCTCAACATCACCCCTCTTTTTTTCTCAGATGGTCAAATGGCACCAAAATAGGATGCTTTTTTTCTCGCTTGCTTTTTGCGTTATTTTTCTCTGGGACTCTCGGGATACCTCCAGAACTGAAGGAAAATAAAAACAAACTCACTACCAACCAGTTGATTCTGACTCAGAGAGACCCCACAGGACAGAGTAGAGCTGCCCCTGTGGGTTTCCAAGACTGTCACTCTTTCCAGGACTAGAGAGCCTCATCTTTCTCCTAGAAGGTAAACAGCGTGCGAAACATAAGTAGCAGGACTGGGCAGCACTTTCGAGGTCAGCCTACCCACCTTTTCTCCAAGGAGAGAATCCCAACACGCCTGCCGCCCCAAATTAGAATTTCTACCCAACCAAAACAGACAAACAAATGTTGCCATTGAGTTCATTCCAACTCATAGAGACCCTATGGGACAGGAACTGCCAGCCTTAAGAGTCACAGCCTGTTGTGTAACCACTACGCCACCAGGGCTCCTCCGAGTGGACTCACAGCCACCCTATAGGCCAGAGTGGAACAGTCCACAGGGTTTCCAAGGCTGCCGTCTTTCCAGAAGCAGACGGCCTCATCTTCCTCCCAACAGAGCAGCTGGCAGGTCCCCGCTGCCGACCTATTGGTTAGCAGCCAAGGCCTTACCCCCTTGCCACCAGGGCTCCTTTAGCACAGAGCCCCTAAACCAACCTCACTGCAATCGTGGTGTGATTGTGTAGGGCAGAGTAGAAATGCTCCCTTAGGTTTCTGAGACTCAATTTTAACCTAAAAGAAACACACACACACACACACACACACACACATACAACAAAACTCTGATTCATAATGACCCTCTAAAAGATGCCTCCTTTATGTTTGACTAGTTATCAAGCCCACCTTTCTTTCCTCCCAGAGACAGTAAAGGGGAAGGCGTACCTATGGAGGCGGGTAGGGTGTTCCAATGGAGAAGCTAGTTTTCTGTAAGGAAGAGGAGTCACAGGAAGTTACTGGAGTCCAGTAAAACTCAGAAAGCTAATAGTGAATTCGGTTTTGCAGAAGCAGACGCCGACCAGAAAATTAAAGTGCTTACACAATTGCCCCATTGGGAAGAATTCCACTGTCTACCAAGGCGCAGGAGCCCTGGTGATGCAGTGGTTAAGCACGTGGCTGGTCACCCAAAGGTCAGTGCCTTGAACCTACTCACTGAGAGAAAGGTGTGCACTCGGCTCCCGTAGAGATCAACAGAAGTTGTAAGGCTGTACAGGAGACGGAAGCCTCAACTTTAGCAGCTGGTGGGTTTGAACTGGTATCCAGCACGGGACCTGGCTACAAGGCGGCGTGTGAATCAGAGCTCAACACACCTATGATCAGATGGACCTCTGGGACTAGATTACGTTGCAGGTGACATGAAACGCTGTGGAGTTCCAGAGTCAGGGAGAAGGTAAGGGGTGCAGGAGGGACATCCTGGGGCCGGTGACAATTGAACGAGGCTCTGATGGAATACTGCCATGCAGTCAATTCTGACTTATAATGGCTCTAAAGGACAGGGTAGAAGTGCCCCTGTAGGTTGGTGAGACTGTAACTTTTTATGGAAGTAAAAAGTCTCCTGTTTCTCCCGATAAGTGCCGGGTGGTTTTGAACTGCTGAGCTTTCGGTTTGCAGCCCAACACAACCAGTACTCCACCAGGGGGAGAATAAACGTCAGATGTTGGCGCGGTCTCCACCAAGTCACCTGTGGGGACAAGTTGCCAGTGTCTTTGTGTTTCCACATGTCAGAGGTGTAGACAGCTGCCTGTGCCAGAGGGATTATAAATTATGGATCCAGGGATTAGACCCCGGAAACTCAGCCACCTCCCTGGAGTCAGCCTCTCATGGCCTTCGTTATTCACGGAGCAAACCTGCAGTGAGCTCCCAGATCCCAGAGTGGGTGTCGGACTCTGAGCCAGGTGCTCAGGAGATGGAACTGGTCCCAGGCAGCTGACAGCCCCCTGCGGTGGGAACAGAATTACTGAGGACTTTAGGAGAACCGCTACCTGTGTGGGCGGGGCGAGGTTAGGGTTAATTGATAAGCGAGCATTCAAGGAAGGTCGCAAGGAGACCACAAGAACATTAAGACTCTCTGCCATCCAGGCGATACTGACTCGTGGCGACCCCACAGGGTGGAACTGCCTCCCTGAGTTTCCAAGACGGCCACGTTTTTCTGGGAGTAGAAAGCCCAGTCTTTTCCCCTCAGAGCAGCTTGTGGTTTCAAACTGCTGACCTGACAGTTAGTAGCTCAGTGCAAAAGCCCTGTCTTCTAAGGAAGCAAAGAGAATGGCCTTTTGTGATGGTGTTGACTCTCGTTGGCTTTATGGTAAAATATTCCAGAAAGGAACACAAACCCCACAGGAAGCGCTCCACTCCGCCCTCTCAGGCCGCTATGAGTTGGCCTTGATCAGTCTGGAGTTTCCGAGAGGCTAGAGTAAGCTGAGGATCTTCCTAGTCAGCTTGCTTTAACCATGATGCGTGTCTCCAGACCTTGTTAACATGTGCGCTAAATGCAAATTAGATCACACAGGCTGGTGAACGTTCCTGGAGATTTTAGATTATTTAGAAAATGTATAGAAGTCCTTTCATACATTTGGAAACTCATCCACAAGGCTATGTAATTAAAAATGGTTTCGGGGAACAAAGGACACGGGTGGGTCTTTGGAAGTGTGCCCAATACAATTCTAGAACAAGGAGGTCAGCATTAAAAGTACCTATCAGCTCCAGGTTTTCCTGCTTTTGAAGGATCCTTAAGGAAAAAATGAAATTCTAAGAAGGATTAATAAAGGAATAGAAGGTGGAGATGTGTACAAAGAGGGTATAACTAGCTGAGGAACAGGTAATCATGGTAGCCATTGCCTGAAATTCTAACTGCTTTCATCTTTGAGTATAATTTGGAGAAGTATTTTATATGAAAACTAGCCTTCTTTCTTGGTATCTATTAGAGGCATCTATACACCAATAAAGGTAAGTAATCCATTGTTAAAAAAAAAAAAAAGAAACACAACCCCCTTGCTGTCAAGTGAATTTCAACAACTCTACAGGACAGAGTAGAACTTTCCCTCAGCGGTTTTCCAAGGCCGTCGTTTATGGGAAAGGAGACGGTCACATCTTTCTCCCACCGAGGAGGTGATGGGTTCAAACCACTGACCTTTCTGCTAACAGCATGTGCTTAACGACCGCACCACCGGGGCTGTCTGGTACAATAGACGTGTCATAGTTTAACTAGTGCTACTCAATGGAAATACCACAAGTGGGTGATGTTGTTGAGCAGAACCTTATTATCTCACAGTTTACTCCTGCGAAGTGGCTGGTGGCTCCCCCTGCCGGTGGGCTGTGGCTAGCACACTCTGCCACCAGGGCTCCTGTTTAGGAGGCTGTGCAGGGGGCCAACTCAAGGAGGTGTTTCCTCCGTCAACTCGGGAGCAAGGTCTTTGGCTCTTCTGAGCTTCCGCTTGGGGGGGGGGGGTTCTTCAGGGCCTTGGTATCTCTTTCCCCCCCATCTCTTGCTTGTTTTAATCTCTGTGTATCTCCAAATAAAAGACTCCAGACATGCCTTTCACCAGTCCTGCCTCAGGAACCTCACAAAGACAACCCCTTGCCCAACGGGCTTGTAAACCCCAAACCAAACCCTACCATCCACTCCCTGCCGACGCATAGAGGACGGGGTAGAACTGCCCCTGTGGGTTTCCTTCTGAGACTAACCCTTTTGGGAAGTAGAAAGCCATGTCTTTTCTCTCAGGGTATCTGGTGGTTTCAAACCGTTGTCCTTGTGGTTAGCAGCCCAACGCATAACCACTATGCCACCAGGGCTTCCACAGGCATACTTAAAAACAGAAGCAAAACAAAATACCAAACTCACTCTCCTGGAGTCCACTGTGACTCCTAGTGACCCTATCAGACTGAGAAGAACTGTCCCCAAAGGATTTCCAGGACTGACATCTTTACGAGTAAACTGCCTCAAACTTCTTTCCCAGAATGGCAGTGGGTTTGAACCATCAACCTTGTGCTTAGCAGCCAGCGCCTAACCCACAGTGCTACAGGCCTCTCAAAAAACTCCCTACTAGAGAGTTGATTCCAACTCGTAGTGCTACTATAGGACAGAGTAGACTGCCTCTGTAGGTTTCTGAGACTTAATTTTTTAGAGGAGTAGAGCTCCTGTGGAGCTGCCGGTGGTTTTGAACTGCTGATGTTGAGGTTAGCCGCCCAATGCATAACTCACTGTGCTACCAAAGGGCTCCCAGAGAACAGCAATAAGAGGTGTAGCAGTCAGATGCCTAACTCAATGTGGGTTGTCCTGACTCAAAAAGGAGCTCTGGAGACATAATACCTACTCGTTGGACTGCCAACCTCAAGGGGAGCAGTTCGAAACCACGAGCAGCTCTTCAGGAGAAAAATGAGACTTTCTACTCCCATAAACAGTTAGCGTATTGGAAATCCCCAGGGGCTACTCTACCCTGCCTTTCAGGGTTGCTCTGAGTTAGAATCCACTTCATGACAGTGAGTTTGGTTTTGAGTTGGTGGCGCAGACGTTAAGTGCTTGACTCCCAGCTCAAAGGACAGCCAGCTGTTCAAGCCCACCAGCCGCCATGTGAAAAAGAACAGGCAGTCTCCTTCCTCCAGACAGCAGCCTCGGACGCCCTCGGGGCCAGTTCTCCTTTGCCCTCCAGGGTTGCCACGACACAGGATCAACTGGATGGCAATGGGTTGGGGCCTTTACGTTTGGTTGGTTAACCCACATCAGCGCTTGTCCCCAAACAGGACGCAGAGGGCAAACCACACCAAGAAACTGCAAGAGCTGGCGCTGCTGCTACCTGTGGCCCTGATGGCAGGGAACAAAAAGCTCACCAAGGTATGGGGTGGGGGAGTGGGTTCTGAAGGACAGGAGGCAGGTGTGGGAGGGAGAGAGGGAAGGTCTTAAATATCACTGAGCGCTTGGCCCTCCCCGCCCTGGGCAACCCACACAGATGCTTTTAGGGACAGTCCTGAAATGGGAGTGGGGAGGAAATCCCTGCTCTGGTCAGAACCTCTGAGGGTTTTTAATTCTGCGGCTAGAAGTTCTCTCTGGTCAAGGAGGAAGAGGGGAACTGGGCGGGGCGGTCAGGCCAGATGCCAGGTGCAAGTCACAGCTCTGGGAGTCAAGCAGCCATGGGCATCATGGGCGCAATTCCACAGCCACAGAAGAGACCAGCCAGAGCCCTGGGGCCTCGGCCCTAGTGGCTGTGGTGGGGTAAGCGTTGGACTGCCCACTGAAGGGTTGGCAGTTCAAGCCCACCAGCCGCTCCGAGGGAGAAAGAGGAAGCTGTCTACTCCGTAAAGACTTACAGCCTTCAAAATGTACAGCCTAAACAAAACAAAAAACTTACAGCCTTAGATAGATGGTCCAGTCATGGGCCAAATTACCAAAACCAAACTCACTACCATCGAGTTGATGCCAACTCATGGTAACCCTTTAGGACAGAGTAGAACTGCCCCTGTGAGACTAACTCTTTTCAGGAGTAGAAAGGCCTGTCTCCTACAGAGCAGTAGGTGTTTTCGAACTGCTGACCTTGTAGTAAGCAGCCCAATACACCACCAGGGTGTGGGCCCCTGTGTGGGCCATAGTAAACCAAACACAACAACAACCAAACAAACTTACTGCCATTGGATGGATGCCGACTCGTAGCAACCCTGTAGGCCTGCAAGACCACCCATGTCAGCTCACATCACGTGCCTCACCAGAGAGAAACCGATCCAGCCATCACATTAAACAACAACAACAAAACTCACTGCCATCGAGTTGATTCCAACTCACGGCGACCCCACAGGACAAGGTAGAACTGCCCCTGTGAGCTTCCAAGATGGTAACTGCATGGGTGTAGGGAGCCTCATCTTCCTCCCATGGAGCAGCTGGTGGTTTAAAACTGCTGACCTTGAGGATCACAGCCCAAGTGAATCAAATGTTTGACCATATGACCTGAGAATGAGGTGATAAATCTCCAAATGGCCCTTGGCAGAAAAAAGCTTCCCTACCCCTGTTATATAGAGTTTCGATGGGCCAGAACCCACCCGATGGCAGTGGATTCTCCCAGAGGTAGGACACTGGCTGCTAAGGGGAAGGTTGGAAATTTGAGCCCATCCAGAGCCTCCTTGGGGAGGGGGCGGGCAGAATTGGCCTGTTGGGGCCTGTAGCACCTTCACTGTTGCTGACATGCTTGTGACCATGGTGGTGGCCACTGTGTGTTTGGAGCACCTACCGATCTCAGGGGCTCAGCTTGCAGAGCTCTATCCAACATGGTTCATTTGGGGGCCAGGGGGTGTTCACTGGCTGACATTTCTTTTGAGTCGGTCTCAGCCTGGTAACATTCCATTTCACTTTTGACCACCCCAACTGTCCCTAGATTCCTACCCTGTACATTCAGTATGCCAATTACTCATAGAGCTCTGCCTCTGCTGCTTCTCCCGTGGGGGTGCGTGTATTCCATGTAGATCACAGCCCTGAAAACCCTACGGGGGCAGTTCGACTCTGTCGTATCAGGCGTCAGAATGGCCTTGCTGACAACGGGCTTGCTTTGGTTTTCGGGGACCGCCTGGGCCCAAAGCAGACTAGAAACATCCTCGTTCACTGAGGAATTGTTGGGGCGGAGGGTAGTGGAGTCCCGGACCCCTCCCTCCGCCCCCCCATGTCTGGTTCCCCCCGCCCTTGTACTCACCGGCCTCTGTCTCGGACGCAGAAGGAGATTCTGTTGCATGTCCTGCACTACATCCAGTACCTGCAGAAAAGCATCGACGTGGCCAAGGCTTTGCTCAGGTTCTACACCACCGAGAGGAAACACAGGTTTACAGGTAAGCGAGCTCTAGACGTCTGTCCTGGGTCTGCTGCCCAGCTGCGTGGCCGGGGTGGTCCCAGCTATCAGCACCCCATGTGACTTAGCGAGCCCGGCAGAGGAGTCCCAGCTATCAGGACACCATGTGACTCAGCCAGCGGAGGACCTGGCTGCTGGGGGAACTCAGAGGAGAGTGTCCAGGAAGACCTGAGGGAGGGCCCTGGGAACTGGGTTCTTGCATTCATCTTGCTGTAACAAAGTATAGCCTGAAAGAACTGAAACAGATTGGCTAACGGTTCTGGGAGCCAAGTTGAGGGTATCAGCAAGGTCACTTTCTGTCCGAAGTTTCCAGTAGAAGGTCCTTGTTCTCCTCAAGCAGCTTCTGAGAGCCCTGGTTGTTCCCCAGCTGGTGGCTACAGTCTCACTCCCATCCCTGCCTCTGCCCTCCTGTGTCCGTACTCCCTTTGCAATCTGTGTGTCTCTGTTTTTCTTTTCCAAGGACAGAGATTAGTCCCCCACCCCCCAGTATAATTGAGTGTGAGCTGACAGCGTCTTCAAAGACTCTCTTTCCAAACAAGGTCCGTTCCCAGGTACAGGTACGGGGTGGGGGCAGTTAGAATTTCAGCATATCTTTTTTAGAGGACACAACCCAGTCCTTGAAGGGCAATAGGAGGCGAGAGAAACCCTGCCAAGCCGAGGAAACCATCTGAGCAGGGACTGCAATCCATGCCACGAAACAACTCCTTCCTGCTGTCCCGATCCCTGCCGCTGCTCTCTTGCCAGCCTCTGAATGGAAATCCAATTTACTTTGTACACTTGGCCATCCAAGGCACTGCAACTGGTCTCTATACGCCTGCAGCCCCAAGGGGGGAAGGAGAATTAGGAATAGGAGGAGGAGATGGAATGTGTGGCTCATGCCTCTGGGAACAGCTGCCTCCTTTGCCCCGGAAATCGGCAGAACTAGAGGCTGCCCCAAACCGTTACTGAGCAAAGATCCCATAGGGGATCCCTGATCCCAAGGGAGAGAGTACGCGTGCAGAACAGACTTTCAGATTCATTGTGTGGACTGTCTAGACTTTCTGGAGCTGAGGAAGCTGGATGAACCCCCAAAGTGAGGGCCCAGAGGTCACCGGACCACCTGAAACCAAACATCTTGAAGTCACTTTAGGGACCAACTAAGAGTTCAGCTGAACCAACGACGAAGGTCTGCCTTGAGCGCTGGGCTCTTTTTCAGGAACAGTTTCTAGGGGATCAAAGTGAGGGCAGTGGCTGGCCAGCGGGAACTGCAATGTGAAGGGGCAGAGGGTCCACATCCAGGCAGGAGGGGCGCCTCAGAAAAGGAGGAGGAAAACAACTGCCCAGCGTGAAGAGCGTCGTGCATGCAGAAAGTACTGAGCGGGTGTCTGTCTTGCTGCGTCTATCCTCAAGCGCAGCTAACCTACTCAGTAAAGAAATAAAGGCTGTGTGTTTGCATGGAAAGACTTGGGACATTGGGGGAAGGCAAATCCTTGGGTGTGACTCCAGAGACTGGGTAGCCTTGAAAGGATGGATACTTAACCCCTGCGACCTTGACCTTCCTGTGTTTCCTAGTGGTGCCTGCAGAACAGGTACTGCCCTCTGTGTTGGCTGTGTAGTCGGGGCGTTCACACGGGGAAAGCTTGCCCCAGAGCCTGGAACACCCCAAGCACCCCGCACTGTACTGGTTGGTGCTGCTGCTATGATTGGAGCGTGGGCTACACCCATGGGCGGAGTGGCCGGAGAGGTGCGGCAGGGATCTGGACTGCAGGAAGGCGGCCTGGTGGCACAGTGGTGAAGCACTCCACCAGGAACCAGAAAGCTGGAGGGTGGAGCCCACAGAGAGGTTCGAGGGAGAAAGAGCTGGTGACCTGCCAATGTAAGGATCGCAGCCAAGAAAACTCCCCAGCAGGGCTGGTCAGCTGTGTCCCACTGGGCCAAGGCGAGTGGGAATGGCCTGCCCTGCATATGACAAGAACAGCCACCAGGACTGCAGGGACCCAGATCGTAAGACCTTGGGGGCCTCGAGGATGGAGCCCACGTGTGATGAGGAGGATCATTCCTAGTGTGGGGAGAGCCCTGGTGGCATAGTGGTTAGGAGTTAGGCTGCTAACTGCAAGGTCAGCAGTTCAAAGCCACCTGCCGTTGCTTGGGAGAAAGACAAGGCTTTCTACTCCCATAGAAAGTTGCAGTCTTGGGAACCTGCAGGATCAGTTCTACCCTGTCCTATAGGGGCGTGGCCACAGACAGGTGAGTTGGCATCAACTAGTTGGCAGTGAGTGTTTTGGGGGGTTTCTTTAGTGTGTGTTGGGGGCGGGGTAGGGTCTCCAACTCAGCCTCCCTGCCATCGAGCCGATGTCAACTCATAGTGGCCCTCTAGGACAGAGTAGAACTGCCCCTGTGGGTCTCCAAGACTAACTCTTCACAGAAACAGATAGCCTCGTCTTTCTCCCGAAGAGCGGCTGGTAGTTTCAAACTGCAGACCTTGCCATTAGCAGCCCAACTTGTAAGCACTACACCACCAGGGCTCCAGGGAGAGGGTTAGTCAGCCCAAACAGACATAGGGAGGTGATAGGGTGCTTGTAAGGGTGATCTGGGCTGAGCCCTGGCTGAGAAGGAGTGCTTTGGTGGACCATTTTGGGAAACGTTGGTAAGGACACATTGAGAAACCTGAGGGAGGAGCCCAGGGCAGCCTGGGTGGGCAGGGGTGGCCTCAGCCTCACGGACTGGGGAAAGGTGGGAGGGCGCATTGGTGAGATGAGGAAGATGGTGAAGCATTTGGGAAGTGCTGAGCTCACGTCCCTCTTGGCCAAGGTGCTGCTCCAGAGAGCCCAGTGGCAACTGGGGAAACCAGTGCAGGGGCTCAGGACCTCCAGCCAGACAGGTGTGTCTTCTCCCAGACCTCAGTGCCCACCTTTGTGGGGTCAGCTCAGGCAGCAGGAGGGGTGGTTGGGCAAGGCCTCCTGATGTCTCCCTCTCCATCCCTGTGCAGGGCTGGCTCGGAAACCCCCTGGGAGCCCAGCAAGGCAGAGACACTCCACTCCATCCAGCTCCCCCTGCGCTCGCAAGTCCCAGCTCCAGGGGGCCTGCCGGAAACCTCAGAAGAAGAAGCCAGGACGAACGTCAGGTACACACTGTCAGGGGCGCGGGGCTTTGCCTCTAGGGATGCCACCACCCTGGAGTGGCACCCTCCGCCCTCTGGAGCCGGCCTGTCCACACTTGAGCATCAGGCGTGCTTGGGTTCCGCTCTCAGCTCTCCTCTCCTGGAGGCTGTGGGTCCCATCCCAGGACGGCGGTGAGGGTGCCAAGAAGGGTCTTTAAAGAGTCCTGGGAAAATCCCATTATCTTCTCATTGCATTGTCTTTTCCACAACCATTTTGAACCCTTGGATAAGAGAGACGGCACCGTGGATTACCCATTGGGCCTCTAAACGCAAGGCCCAGAAATGTGAAGACACCGGCCGTTTCGTGGGAGAAAGATGAGACTTTCTACTCTCATAAACGGTTACAGTCTCAGGATCCCACAGGGCCCGTCTCCTCTGCCCTGCAGGGTCCCTGTGGGTTGGGATCGCCTGGACAGCAGTGAATTTGGATTTTGTTCTGTATCTCACACCTGGACATCCCACTTGGATGAGTGGGCTAGAATCTGAGCAGCAACATTGTTTCAAAGCTCACCCTGGTGGCGTAGTAGTTCTGAATTAGGCCGCTAACACTAAGGGTCAACAGTTTGAAACCACCAGCTGATCCTCAGGAGAAACACGAGGCTTTCTCCTCCCATGACCAGTTACAGTGTCAGAAACTCACAGGGGCAGTTCTACCCTGACCTGTAGGGGCGCTGTGACTAGGCATCTGCACAATGGCCTTGAGTTTGGATTTTGGTTTTAGGGCACCTGAGATGCGGCTAGGAGAAAAGCTGGGAAGATGGCCCGTGTGCTCTCCTGAGGGCTGGCACTGGCTTTCCCAGGAAGGGCCGGTGGGTGACCTGACCAAGCAGAACTTTTGAACAGGATGTTGGGCCCAGGGACAGCCAGGCAGCCATCTCTGATGTGTGTCTCTGTTGTCTCAGAACGCCAGACTCGGGCCCAGAAGCCTCGCCGCTGTCTGGCCCTTTGCAAGTCTGAGGTGACCTCATCCCCTGAGCAGACAGGAGAGAACCTACAGGGCGCCAACCTGCCTCTAAGATGCTGGGATTTCAGCAGACAGCTGGACGATGCCGCACTATCTCCCTGTCCAGGTGCGGAGCAAGGGGCGGGGGCTGAGCTGAGGGCAGCGGCTCACAGGTACCCTGCCTCACTGTGACCTGGTCAGCTTACCCTATCGCTTCCCTCACTGTGTAGAATGGGGGAGGAGGCTGGGATTCCTCTGGAAGGAGTGTCTAGCTATGGGAGGAGGGTGGGGCGCACACAGGCCCTGCCTCACGCAGGCTGGAGACTCCAGTCAGGCTCCACATTCTGCCGGACCCTTGAGTCTCTCCCTAGGCTAGGCCACAAGCAGGTGCTGGACACACAAGAGAAACCACACGTGTCACCAGACACTGAGAGGCCAGAGGGACTTAGACTGCCTAGGGCATGGAGGGTGGTGACAGACTACTACACTCGCACCCAGCAGCCAAAGTTCTGCCAGTTGTGTGACCTGGGACAAGTTACCTGATCTCTCAGTCCCTTGGGTTACTGCTCTGTAAAATGGGGGGAACTGCTTCAAACCACTCTCCTTTATGCTCATGATCTGTGTAGGAGCTTACCCCTGCTGTAATTTCTGATGAGGGCCTGAGGGTCAGGAACCTTGTACAGGCCTCGACACTGGAGGCTTTAGCTAGGAGGGAGTCAGGGAGAAGTTGTGGCAGCCCTGGGCACTTACCAGGTAGCATCTGAGTGACCATCCTGACCCCCTTCAGGCTGCTGTGTCGGAGCCTGTGCCCAGGACGATGAGACTTTTGCTGCCCCAGGGGTCCTAGGAGATGCTGAGAGGATCTGTTTGCTCAACGGAGGACAAGCCTGTCCCTGGTAAGGAAACCTGGGAGCACCGAGGGGGGCGGAAATGTGGTTGAGAGGGCACCCAGATAGCCAATGATAGACCCCGGATGTCCCGCAGCACTGCATACCTGCCTGCCTGACTGTATGGGCACGCTCCCAGGAGAGCCTTCCTCTTGCCATGGACAGGGCAGCAGGCTCCCCACTGGCTGGCTGTGCAAACACTCAGCCCTACAGGGGTATGCCCCAGTGTCTTAGGCCCTTGAGCTTCTTCTCTGGCCCCAGGCTGGCCCTCTCTCTGCTCATCCCCCAGGAATCTTATGCCCAGAGACCTGCCATTCCCCCATTGTGCCTGATCCCCTGGTCTTCTTGGACACACTCCCCTCCTCCAGGCAGAGCTGTCCGCCCAATGCCCACCCTCTGCGTCCCTCCGTCATAGTGCTGTGACGTTTATAGGAACTGGAGGGGGAAAAAAAAACTGCATGGCTTGCTGGGCGGCTGCAGTCTCCGGGTTGAGGTGGCCTAGATCTGAGCTGCTGGGAAGTCCCTGAGGCCGAGGCTGGCAGGCTGCCTCTGACAAGGGGGTGTGACCCCAGGAAAGTAGTCCTTGAACTCTGGGTTGGCAACACCAGGACTCCCAAAGGAGCTGCCCCACCGAAGCCCCTCACCTCCCAGCACAGGGCTCTCCCTCTGCCTCGTGAATCCCACCTCTTGCAGGCAGAAGCTGTTGTGCTGCGATTCCAGCGAGGAGGTGAAGGAGTACGACCCTTGGCTTCCTGTCTGGACCCCCAAGGACAATTCCGAAGGTGATTAAACTCACTCTGGGCCCTTCTTGGTCCCCCCACTCCCGATAGAGTCTCAGTGGAAGGGCGGGGATGTGATAGGCCTCTGCTGAGCAGAAGGGCACAGCCAACAGCACGGGGCAGACATTACTAATTACTCTGCCGAGCCAGGCACCACTGCAGAATGTGCCGGCCATCAGAACTCCCAGGAGCTGTAAGCAGACAGCCTGATTGGACACAGTATGATTTTATGTTTCTTTTTGCCATTCATAACGCCAGGCTTGTGCATCTTAATTAATTTCCTCTACCAAGAAGGACATTGAGTCCCTGAGAGAAAGATGGGGCTTTCTACCTTGTCCCATAGGGCCACTATGAGCTGGCATCCACTTGATGGCAGCAAGTTTAGTTTTTTGTTTTAAAGTGTCCCTGGGTGGTGGAAACGGTTGGGCACTTCACTGCCAAACCAAAGGTTGGTAGCTTGAATCTACTCAGAGGGCCCTCAGCCAGCGGACAGGCCTGGTGATCAGCTTTTATAAGGTCCTGGCCTGGAAAACCCTGCCTTGCACCCATGGGGTCACTGTGAATGGGCATCTAATAGCTCAGGGCAGCTAAAAACAAGGAAAGTGGGATGATGGTGAGGATGGTGGTGGTGATAATAGTGATGGTGGTGGTGGTGATGGTGATGATAGTGGTCATGCTAATTACCCCCCTCCAGAGCACTACAAAGGTAGGTCGGGCAGCCTCTTCTCCACTGTCTGGTTGCATGGCAAGCCAGCGGCTATGTTGGGGACAGGGGATGCCCTGGCTAGACCTGGAGTCAAATGATTCCTTTTCAGGGAGCCTGCTGGCGCTGGAGCCTCCCCAGGACAAGGACTGGAGTGCCACAGGTCAACCGAGTGAGGTCCTGGGGCTCAGCCCCTCCATCTTCAGCTCCCCGGGGAAGCTGCTGTTCCGTCAGATCCTGGCAGACGGGGAGGACTACCTGACCCAAGGTGAGTGTGACCGGTCAGGCGAGGTCGGCGTGTCTCAGTCCAGAGCGGTGCCAGCCCAGGCTCTGCCTCTGAGCTCCCAGCCTGGTGACTGTCCTGACAGGGGGACGTCAGGAGGGCTCTGGGAGCTGGAGAAGGAACTGCTCCCTCTGCTTGGGGCTCTGGAGATGCCCCACCAGCTGCCACAAGATGGACTGGCACCTGGGGCAGGAGGTCTGCTCATCGCCCACAGCCTGCCCTACTCGCTCAGCTGGCTTCTAGAATTCACTGCCATGAGGACACCGAACTCACAGACGATATTCACGACTGAGGGGCTTATTGAGCAAGTTAACGGGTTAAAATTCGGGTGAGAAATGTTCAGGATACAATTGTTCATTCAGGTTAGTCTCACCTCTGGTCCTGTGTCTCTTGGCCTGGCCCTTGCCGTTTGGGCAATGTTACAAGTCTCTTGTAGGGCCACTAATAAGTGCTCAGAGGGCACACCACTCTGCTGTGAGCCTCAGCCCAGAGGCACCCAGCTCCCCCAGTGACATGCCCAAAGGCAGTCTACTCCACAAGCTGCTCTCTTGTTCTGTGGGCTGGGCACCTGGCTCTCTTGTTCTGGCTCCTGGCTTTGCTGCTGCTGCACCTCAGTCAGTCCTCTGGTGTCACGGCTATCTCTTGGATCCAGGAGACTCACTGTGCAGGGGTCCCGGGCTCCAGATGATGTGCTTTGCTCCTGGCTCTTTCTGGTAGCGAAAGCCCCGACTGTTTCTGAGAGGGCTCATTTTATATCCAGCAGGATGGTAATCTCTCACAGCTGAATCCAATCACAGCTGAATGCAATCATTAGCTCACTCACCTTCTAACTCAGTACCCGTCAGGAAAATGAGTTGTTTGGTGGGAGTAACAAGCGCTATAGCTAGAAGAGCCGGATTACATAATTCATCCACTGCACTGGAAGATCCCAAAGCAGAAAACCAAGAGAGGGGGCAGGCACCTGCCCAGGGCGGGGCGGTGGGGTAAGGATGCCCCAAGAGAAACCCTTCCCCGTCTCACCCCAACAGTGCTCTTTGAAGAAGTGGACTTCGGCCCTGACTCCCCTCCATGGGCCTGCGTGTCTGACAAGGTAAGCATTGACCCACATGCCCGTGCACGGGGATGCCTGGCCTGTCCACACGTCTCCTACCTGCTTGTGGCTCTCTTCTGTCCCCTCAGGCTTTCAGGCACCTCCCTCCCACTCCCATGCACTCACCCCAAATCCACCCACCTACCTGCCCTCTGAGTCCGAGTAGGATCCCTGGAAAGAACTAGATGGACAAGATAAAACAACGCAATCTGCCAACAAGTGGCCATCAAGGTGACCCAGACTCATGGTCACCACTGTAGGTCAGTGGAACTGGCTCCACAGGGTTTTCAGGGGCTGGTTTTTCTGAGTCAGGTAGCCAGGCCTTTCTTCTGTAATGCCTCTGGGTTGTCCTCAAACCACCAGCCTTTCTGGTTAACAGCCAAGCTCTTAACCGTTTCGTCACCTAGACACTCGCATGGAACATGGAGAACAGGCGAATGCATAGAGGTCAAAAGTAGATTCATGGTTACCTAGAGCATCGGGGAGGAGATGGAGCCCAATGGCCTGCTAGGTTACACTATGAGCTGCAAACCGCAAGGTTAGCAGTTCAAACCCACCAGCAGCTCCAAGGGAGAAAGATGAGGCTTTCAACTCCCATAAAGATTGACAGCTTCCGAAACCTGCAGGGTCAGTTTTACCCTATCCTCTAGGGCCACTTGAATCAGAATCGACTCGATTATAGTGAGTATGAGGTTTTCAGGGGAGTGAAGGGTGGGGCCTTACTGCTTTTAAGATATATATACATATATCCGCACATGCAAATGAAGAGATAAAATTACCCCAGCTCATGGTTTCTGAAAACCATTTAAGAAAGAAAGGAGGGGGGAAGGAAATATGGAAGAAAGAAAAAAATTACTAAGGAGCTTCTAAAAGCTTATGGAAAGATAGAATGGGAAGATAATGATAAAACTTTTTTAAAAGGGGGGGGGTGAGAAAGTTATGGAACTTGGCCACAAACTTTGTGAAGTGCCCACTCCCCCTCCTTGCTCCAGCCTAGGAGACAGAAGATCTGGTTCCCATCCAGTGCCTCTGGTTTCCAAAGAGTCGAGGGGACCCGCAATCGGAGCGTCTGAGTGCTGTGTGGATGAGACCAACTTCCTTTGCATGATTTGTAAAAAAAAAAAAAAATACACACACCCACAACAAAATGCCACCATCTCAGCCTTTCCCACATTTAGTTCAGTGACACAGAGGACAGGCTCAGGCTGGGCAGCTGTGCCTTCTTCCACATCATCTAGCCCCATGCACGTACCCTCAATGTGCCCCCAAGCAAAGCTCTCAACCCCCTCCCTCCAACCTCTGGCCCCCCCATGCAGCCTAGGTCTCTCCGTGTTGGCACTGGTTGTGACGCGCCCCCTTCTCTGTCTGGCTGTGTGTATAAGGGTGTCTTTGCTCCAAACTGTTCCCCGTGCGTACGTTATGTCCTCAGAATGAATGGTTGTGGGTTGTAGGATAAATGGACACCTTTCTCTCCACTCATGTCCCTTCCCATCTTTCTCCTTTGCCCCAGGACATCCTAGCTGAGGACCCCGAAGACAGTAGGGAAGCCGATGACCCACTCCAATCCTCTGTCTTGTCTGATGACTGCTACCTCTCCCAGAGCGATACCAGCGAGGCCTCGTCCAGCGCAGGCTCAGAGACCACCGAGACAGAGTCCCTGTGCTGGCAGCTGGAGGTGAGAGGGCCCGCCTCTGAGGGTCATGCTCGAGTTACCTATCCCGCCTACCCCAATGCTCTCTCACCTCTGTGCCCTTGCAGGAGTCCCAGGACGACGTCCCCGAGGATGGTCTGTCCTCCAGTGAGGAAGATGGGGACTACACCTGGACCCCCACCCGACGGACCTCGCTCCTGCCTCCCAACGGGAGGAAGGCCAAGAGCCGGGCTGCTAAGGCCCCCGTGAAGTCCAAGGAGAGTTGGGCAGCCCCAGGCCAGAGCCAAAGGAAGAAAAAGTGTGTCAACGGCTTCATCATGTTCTGCCGCATGAACCGGAAGCAGTACATCCGGTGAGCGGGTAGCCCCCTTTGCCCTGCCCCACATCACTGCTGTCCAACTCGCAGGTGCCCCCAGGTGTCCCCACCCAGGGTTCAGCCCCCTAGAACATAATGCAGTGAAGCACCCCTTAGACTTCTGAGAAAAAGAACAGGACTTGGCTTTTAGAACCCAGAGAGGGGTGGACTGCAGGTGCGGCTGGCTCCGGGCAGTCTGTGGCTCAGTTTTCTTCCGGAATGGCCTTGTGGTCCAGCTTGAGCAGTGGGCCACCGTAGAGGCAGGATCACCCCATGGGTGCAGGCCTCCATCCTAACCCCCCACTCCAGTAGCCACGCAGAGAGCTCCTGTGGAAGGCTTCACGCAGAAGTTACCTGGGGTGACTTTTTTGATGCCCAGCCCAGAACCAGGTGAGGCTAGGTCTGCAGCCAGGGGGTGAGAGGGGGCCCAATTCACCAACAGGGGGTAGAGCTGGTTCCTTAAAGGGAAGCCTAGGTACTGTTACCAGGAGGGGGCCTTGTGTAGCACAAATACGATTGATGGCCAATCCAGAGTGATAGTTCAAGTCCACCTTGTGGCACCTCGGATGAAAGGCCTGGCTATCTCTGAAAAAACAGACTGACACCTCCCTGGAGGTCAATTCCACTCAGATTCAGGTGGAGCATTCCAACCTAGACTGACGGGGGTTAATGTTCTCTCAGCCCCCCCAGGGCCAGATCTATCCTGCCCACAGGGTCACTATGAGTCAGAATGGGCTCAAGATCAGTGAGTTTGAGGGTTTTCAAAATTTTTCGTATAAATCCCACCTACTTCGCACTGTGCCAGGCACGTCCCAGGAGTTGTCTCCGTCCATCATGGCAGCCACGCCCTGGGGGCGGGGCTCTCAGGGCGCCCATTATACAGCCTAGGAAGCTGAGGTCCAGGGCTGTGGGAGTTGTCAGACCTAGGACTGTGACCCCCAAGCCATCTGCCCCGAATCCAGGCAGTGCAGGGCGATCAACGCGAACCAGGACAAGAGAAGGCACGGTGGATTGTTCAGGAGGCCCTGGGTGGGGTGGGCAGTGCATGGGCTGGGATAATACGATGGAGGTTCCAGTCTGCCCAGAGACAGAGACACCAGTTGAAAGACCTGATGTCTCGTCCCAGTCACTGGAAACTCCGAGGGGCACACTTGTGCTTGACATGCCCCTCCTCCCCCTTCCCCCACCCCAGAGCCTGTCCAGGGACTGCGTCCACCACTGCTACCAAGGAGTTGGCTCAGCTGTGGCGAGCGATGACCCCGCAGGAACGGAAGCCCTATTGGTGAGAAGTCGGCCCTTTGGCGGGTGCGGGGTGTATGTGTGTGTCCGTCTGTCTCTGAATCCCTAGCCCCGCTCATGGCCCCGGGACAGGCTGGGGGCTGCCTCAGACTTTAGGAAAGATTTCGGGCGATGGGTTGGGAGGAGCGTTACCCTGCATCTTCCTTCAGGAGTTCTCCACTTGGGCCTCCCTCTCCAGTGGCCCCGCCCCCAGCCAGACCCTGGACCACGTGCGACTGGGAGTATGGGGCCAGGTGCCCAGGGCTGGGTGGGACTAAACCCACCCCCCACCGTACCCCCGGCAGCACCAAGGCTCGCAGGTTCAGTCGCCAGCACAACCGCATTGTGAAGCAGGACCGCTCCAGCAGCGAGGACGACGACGACTGGGAACCACCCAAGCCTTTTTATCAGCTGCTGGCCAACAAGGCCCGTCGGGAGCCTGGCCCGCGTCCTCGGCGCCAGTGAGACCTGCTGAGGTGTCTCCCGCCACTCCTCCGCCCCCCCAGCAGCTTTTGGTTATTGTACACCCCCGCATCTCGGCTGCAGGAGGAGGGGCTGTCCTGCTTACTGCCCCGTTTGTGTTCTTTGGGTGGGGGCTGGAGCCCGAATGAAATGGAGGGAGATGGGCACCCCACCCTCAATGCCTGTTCACCCCCCACTGTTCTATTTATAGATTATTTATTGTTTTGAAATAAAGCAATGGACCCCTTGCTGCCAGCAAGAAGGCCAACCCCAGGCTCAATGGCCCTCCCTTTTAAACGGGCTCCCAGACCCCAAGCACTCCACCCACAAGGAGGGGAGCCCCACACCCCTACCTCACTGAGCTCTGAGGGAGGCTCCATTTCTCACACCTTGGATGCTTCCAACAGCCTGTTATTTATTGAAACGGAGACAACTCATTCTAAAAAAATAAAGATTTACGATACAAAGGAGGCAGGGCTCAGGGCTGTCCCCAGGCAGGCAGGGATCTTTGGTCTGGGGCTGGGCGTGGGGGTGCGGGGCAGACAGTAGCCCTGCACCACCCATACCACCCACACCTTCATCCCCCACCTCAGCAGAAAGTGCTGGGCTAAGAGGGTGGTGCACCCCACCTGGCCAGGGACCCATACAATTCAGAGGCCCACGGCTAACAGCGGAGCTATTAATAGTGTTAGGAGCTACCAGGAACACGGCTCAAGAGCTTGGGAGCCTAGCTACTTGGCAGGGTCCTCAGCTCACAGCTAGTACCAGGTTGAGGAGGGCAGAGCCCTTGGGTTGGGACCTTCTGGGTACCCGTGTGCAAGGACAGAGAGTGGCCAGGGCTGTGTCCCTGTGAGGCTGTAGTGTGGCGTCTTCTATGGTTTCTGGGAGGTCCCTCCTCCTGTCTGGCCCCAGGTCTTTGAGCACCATTGTAGCCAGCGGGGCCAGGCCAGGTCACAGTTCTAAGGGCTCCTCCACGGTCACTGACTGCAGCTGGGTCAGCACCTTGGCCTCGGCTTCCAGCCCCTCATCCACCTCACCCCCTGCTGTGCTCCCCAGGAGCAGTCCCTCCGGGTCAGGGTCTGGCAGCCTCAGCACAGTGGGGGAGGCCTGCGTGGGCAGCCCCTCAGCTCCTGAGCTCAGTTCCAGCCCCGTGGGCCACACAGGCACAGCGGTGGCAGGTGGGGGCAGCAGCAACCCCTCCGGCGGTGGGGGAGCGGGGAAGCTGGGCAGGAGGCCGGTGGAATCAGGGGCGAAGGGGAGGCCCTCGGTGGTGGCGGTGGTGGTGGTGGCAGCGGCGGTGGTGACGGTAGTGGTGGCACTGGAGGTGGCAGCAGTGGTGGCAGCAGTAGAGGGCGGCTGCACAGAAAGAGTGCCCAGGGTGTGGGCTTCAGGGAGCGCGGGGCTTGGGGCCACTGGGAGGGTTCCTTCAGGCACCAAGAGGGCCGGGTCTGGCTTCAGGGGCAGGGCCAGGCTGGGCGCCGGTGGCAAGACCTGAGAGACCAGCATGCTGGTGGGGAAGGTGGCCGTTAGGATGATCTTGCCTTGCTGCACGGCCACACCTGTCACAATGGGACTGCCAGACACAGGATTGGCCAGGAGGAAGTTTCCTGTGGGGAGTGGATAGAGGGCAAGCAGTCAGAGATAGCCCAGGACAGTAGGGGAGGGCTCCCCAAAGAGATGAGCCTGAGGTAGCAAAGTGGAGCCCCTCTAGGGTGGGACATCAGGGCCCTGTACAGGAGGCCCCCAACAACATGGAGACGGGCCATCCCTACTCCCCATCAGAGAGAGACCACCATGCCACCCACCCTGCTGTCACCCAGAGAGGCAGAGGGACATACCTGGGGCTGTGGCCGAAGGCAGCTGCAGGGCAGTTACGCCCACCCCAGAGTTTATCAGGTGCATGTTGGCAGGGCTGGCTGTGGCTGCCACCTTTACAGGGCTGCCGGGCCCAGCTGTCAATAGCTGCAGTGGCCCCATGGCCTGGGGCAGAGTGACCACCTGGGAGGTGGACCCCACTTGGGGCAGGTTCAAGAGCGGGGCAGTAGGGCTCAGGCCTGTGGGGTACCCAGGCGGCGGGGAGAGGGACACAGTCCGTGGAGCCGCTACGGTGGGCACTGGGCCAGGTGGCAAGGGGAAGGTGGCGGCAGGAGTGGGCACCAGCGTGGGCAGGGGCACTGAGGTCCCTTCTCCAGATGTTCCAGCTGCCTGGACTCCCTTCGTGTCAGGGGCCTCAGGCTGAGCCTCCTCCAGGCGAACCTCCCCAGTCTGGGGGTCCAAGATTAGGGAGGTCTTGGCCTCACTGGCCGCCTGGGGGCTGGGTTGCAGTGGGGGCTGAACAGGGGCAGCCCCGCCCCCAGTGAGCAGCAGGGGGCCCAGGCTGGAGGCGTCGCCCAGGGCCAGGCTATTGATGAGGACTGGGCTCCCATTGAGCAGCACTGTGGGAGAGCTGCCTGTGGCCAGGAAGCTCCCATTCACCAAGATGGAGGAGCCGGCAGGGCAGGGTGCAGGAGGGGGTGCCCCAGCCAGGAAGATGGAGCCCTGGGCGGAGGACTCAGCAGTCACTGGGGCCACCCCTCTGTCCAGGTCCTCAGGACTTCGACTGGACTCATCCTCCGTGGTGGGGTTCCCATCAGATTCGCTAGCAGAAGAGAG